TTTTGCAAAGTGAAATAATTATTTAAATTTGCCTTTAAGTATTTTATTAAAATAAGTCAATTAATTCCTTTTGTCGAGTTGTAATGGAACTTGAATATATCATTTTACTATTGTTGCTATATTTATTTTAGAACTTAATTTGCATCAACAACGTTAGTCAATATTTAATCATAATTATATACATTTTTTCAATAAAATTATATTTTCTAAATCGAATGCTAAAAGAAATATTTAATTTTAATTTTGTGATATCAAGTTACTCTTAATAGTCCAACTTATTCGATATTCATCACTTCCTATAATAATAAAAATTGTACAAGCTTATACCAGAAAATTTAATCATACATATGGTATGGTATTTATTTATTTATTTATTTTATTTGAACGTATGGGAAATTAAGTCTCTAAAAATGAAATACAAAAAAAGCCGACATTTAAAACCTTTCCTGAAAACTTGCGGAGTAGACAAAAAATACTATGAAATTAATTTGTAAAATCAATTCGCTTAATTTAGTGCTCCGTAAGGGTCGGGTCGGGTCGGGTCGGGTTTAAGGCATATTCGAACTCGAACCCATTATAATTGCAGAACCTGAATTCGGGCTGCTACGCAATGTAGGTTTTCTTTCTTATTTTTCGATTTTATTTTTTTTTGACTTTCTAGTTTTAATGCGTGTAATATTTTTTTTTATTTTATTTTATTATAATTGATCAATTAATTGTATTTTCTTTTTTTCTTTTTTTTCTTTTATTCTTTTATCAAAAAATTTTTATTTATTTATTTTCATACAGATTTTCGATCTTATTGGATGATGCGTAATTTTCCGTGATTATAAATCCATGATATCCATGCTCTCAAAAGGTAAATTCTTAGTTAAAAAAGCCACCAAAATTACCCTACAGCGATGATATCCTCGTTATCTAATTGAATATCAAATAAAAGTAAAATTAAACCAAATATTTAAAGAGTCCTGAAAAAGAATGAACAAATATAAAAATAAAAAAATAAAAAAAAAAAGTTAATAAAAAAATTCCACAACAGTAATAAATAACCATATATGTTATGTTATTAATGATATTTTAATAATACTTTTTCATCCGCGGTTAAGGTTAGGTCGGTCCAACCTTTTTTTCAATTTGTGGGGACGTTTTTTCATTCTAAAATGAAAGTTAGTAAGTATAGTACGACCAAAATAAATACTAGTAAGAAGTAATTTGCAGAAGTTATATTTAGCACAACACTTGCTCTCAGGCCTCCAATCCAACCTCAAGAGGGAAACACAAATATACTTTACTCTTAGGCCAACTTCAACCTCAGAGGGGAACACAAATATACCCATTGCTCAAGGCGTCAAGAGGGAACACAAATACACATTTTACCCAATGTTTTAAGAGGGAATACAAATACACACTTTGCTAGCCTACTAGATGGTACAAGTGCATACTTACATCTAGCATTCTTGAATGGTATAGACAAGAGCTCACTTGTATTTAGCATTCTTGATAGTAATGCAAGGACTCACTTGAATTTGCATTCTTGAAGATAATGAAGTGTATTAATGCTAACTTGCATTGCATCATTCAAAATAACAAAATGCATACTTGCTATTAGTCTCCATTTGCGGGTTACAAGATGTACACTTGCTATTAACCTCTATTAGCATAGAATAAGCACTTTGCTTTTAGACCTCTTTAATCTCAGTCAGGGAATACAAATGCATACTTGCTATCAATCCTTTTAAAGCCAGAAAAAGAGGAAAACACAAATGATTACATATACAGAACTAAACTAAGTTTGACTTTTTGAGAAAGGTACATAGCTGATCCATTATTGGAAGTCAGCAGCCTCAAAAAAAACCTTTTCCAGCTCTAAACATGTCAATAAATATGCTATAATATCTCTTTATACACTATTCAACACATACCATTGCATTATTTATGACTTCTTTAATAATACTTAAAAGTATCCTTTGCTTAAGTAAAAATATGTAGAATAAGCAATTTAATTGTAAATAAATTAAAAACAAAAAAAAACAAAAGGTGATTTTCCATACGTATACTGTTTTTGCTATGATATTTGAAGTAACCAAGGTAAGACAGTTTAAAGACCTTCAGCAAGTATAAATTTTGACCAGTTGATGGCTCTGTCCAAATTTTTATTTTCAAGAAATAAGAGAAAATGCGAAAAAAAATTAGCAACTTTAAAAAAAAAATTTTTTTTTTGTTTATTTTTTTTTTAAAAAAAAATAAATAAAGTATTTTTATAACATAATTTATGAGATTAGTCAGATAGTATAAATTACGTCAATAAGAGTCATACTGTCACATGATATTATTAAAGCATTATATTATTTAAAATAACTAGATAACAGAAACCGTTAGAGCGTCTAATATTATTTAAAAAAATATATAATTTTTACTTTATTGATTTTTAGTTTAATAAATTAACATTTTCTTATCACGATCCTATTGATTTATCAAATTGTAATATTTTAATATTTTAAAATATTCGCAAGATTATATGTCAAAATATTTCTGAAGCATAACTGATTATGTAAAGCTTGACAAAAATGGTTATTGTTAAAATAATTGAAAGTATATTCAAACAACCTGATAAAATATTATATTTTAATAGAATATGGTTTTGTTAGGGTCAGCTTTATCAAGAACTACTACAGGGTTTATAGAATAATGTTTGGTTAAAACTATGATACGTAAGTAATTTATTAATTTATTTTATTTTAAGAAATTTACACATTAAATTATTTTCAATTATATATGGTAGATGAAAAAGTTTAAGTAGGATTATAGAAAGAATTCAATTAAATCCAGAAGTAGCCACTCTTTATAAAAGACTTGATGATGTTAGTCATAAAATTTTTTACAAGAAATTAAAGTGAGGCAAGATTTTGCTTATGTAATTTTTGTTAGTCTAAAACATATAACTGATCCTTCAGTTTTTCTAAAACAAATAATTTTATCTATTGATATAGAAAAGGATGATTCTAATAAAGAAAGAGTTGCTGTTTTAGCCGCTTAAGATCTAGATACTTTGATTAAGCATAAAAGTGTTATTACAACTAGTGAATCTTCAAAATATTTAGATCAAGATTATGAATACAATCCGTCTCGTAAGAATTAATACTTTAACCTAATATTATTTAAAATTTACCAATTGAACTTGTAAAATAGCCAGTTTGTTGAAATGTTATAGAATGTCTATAATTATACTATTAGTAAACCATATTCGTATTGCTCTCTTTTTTCTTTTAGCATAATATAATATAAGGAGGTAATATCATAAACTTCAATAATTATATAAAAACCAGTAACTAAAATGTTTCATATATTTATATAATTAGATCTGATAATTTCTGATATGATTTTAGATATTCTTTTTGTTAATTACAAAAGTAAGAAATTCTGATAGATAATTTTATTCTGAGGTGATAAAATGTATTTATTAATAACAAAAATTCAAAAATGATTACATTTTAAATTTTTTTTTTCTCTTCAAAGCATTGTATTTATTGTAACTTAGATTGAACTTAATTTTCACTGCATTAGTAAAAGCTTTAATCATGCTTGAATCAAAAGTAAAGATTTTCATTTTTGATTTTAATGCTAAATTTTCTAAAGCAACATCAAATAAAATATTTTGAGGAGCTTGCATTAATATTTTTTTTTAAAGAAATTCCTCAAAAAATTTTTAAGTATATAATTATCTTTTCTTTTATTTTTATTTTTTTTTTTAGTAAAAGGTTTTATATTTAAAAAGTGCAGTATATTATGATAATATACCATCATGTTTAAAAACAAAAATGTATAGGTTTAAAGATTATAAGAATGTATCTTCTGTCGATTTGGTTAAAAGTAATGAGAAAGTTCTGTTAATTCAAAAGAATAATAAGCAAATTAGAAAAAATTAAAAATTTTTTGTTACAATTAATTCTAACTTTTTAACTGAATTTATTAATAATAAATACTTAAATAAAATATAAAATAAAATTATTAATAATTATGATAATAAATCTATATTAAAAATTATTTTAATAGAATCTTATGATGAAAAATAAATTTCACACATTTTCTCATAAATCATGATGTTATTTAATACTCTATGTTTTTTACTGTAAAAAATGATAATTTTAGCATAATAAGCTTTATCAGTAGAAATATCATTTATAAAAGCGAAAATGCTCTATACTAAGAGAAATATTATTAGTTTGACTTTATAATCCATTTTTATAAAAAGGTAAAAAGACTTTAAAATTTGAAAATAATTTATATAAATAAAAACTTTTGATTGCAGAAGTATATTACAATAAAAGATATTAAGTATTAAGAAAATTATATATATCTTGGATTAGGGATGATATAATTAATTTATTCTGTACTATTTTTATTTTAATAGTTAAAAAACTGCAATGCTAAATAATAAAATATAAAATCCCTGGTCTTGGAAAATTCTCATAAAAATATTCATGTAAAAATAATGTAGTTATATTTTTCACTCCTAGTTAGGATTTTTTGCATGAATAAATCAAAGATTAACTCATATTTACCCTTGGCATAAAATTACGCTAGTGAATATTAGTAAACCTCCTCTATGCATAATATAGGTAAATATTTGAATAATTTGATTAGTTAGTTATTTTGAGAATTACTTGAGACCTACGTTAAGTAAAATTTCATCATTTTACAGCATTATTTATTTTTCAGACTTATCTTTTGTAATCTAATAAAATTTGCTAATAATTAAATATTATAACTACCTCTAACATATACCCTCTCCTCTCCCTTCTATACCTGTTTCTTCTAATCCCTTTAAATGTATTTTTCCAGGTCAACTGAACTTGATAAACTTTATAATCACTTATTTCAAAAGTTTTTGCATAATTTTTAATTAATTTTTCATAATTTTTTTTATGACATTGTCCTTTGTTAGTGAAATTAATGAGTAAGCATAAATCAGACGTACTAAAATTCAGATCATATTCTGATATAAAATCAAACGTTTTACTTTCTTTACTAAATATGAGAATTTTTTAGATTATTTCTATCTAATGAAAGAAATAAAACTTTCTTTATCACATCCAGAAACAGGATGATGCAAAATGAAGGAGTAGAGAAAACAGTAATTTTAGCTTCAAATTTCCAACTATATAGATTAAATCCTCTAGTAATAGTAGATCCTTTATTACTACAATTTCATGAAAAGTTTTAACATCAAAACCATCTCTACTTCTGCATACAAGCAACTCAAATTTCATAAAAGTATTAAGAACATCTTTTTTCATTAATTTAATAAAATTAGCAAGCAAAAAGATTTATTTAGAATTAATAATTTTAGAATCAATATTTATTTTAAGTCTTGAATAGCTATTATCATTAAAAGAATAATATTCAAAAGTTTAACATAAAATTCAATATTTAAAATACTTTTAAAGGATTTAATCTTTTGAAAAAAATTAAAAGGATAAATTTCTTTAAAATCAATATGTAGGATAAATGGTTAAATAATATTTTCAAAAGTAGTCAAAGGTCCACTTTGTGATCTCTAATAATAATCTATTTATTTGTATAATTGCTTACTCTATAAATTTTTCCCAAACTTCAATTGGTTTTAATAAATAATTAGATTCTAATATATCAAGAAGTATATCATGCTTAATAGTTGTAAAATCTTTAGCTTTGAAAATTAAAAAAGGATCTTGTTAAAAGGCATCTTGATGAAATAATTTTGTCAAATGACTGTATTGATTTGTGACTTGATGAATAAGGACAAAGTTATATTTTAATAATACTTTATATCTAAAAAGTTCTTCTTCAATATATGAACATAAGTTATTAAGAAATAATTCATTAGCTGCAATTAACAGCATAATATTTGTACTGCTATCTTATTCTATAAGATTGATAATTCTGCAATACATATATTTAAATGAATTTTTTTTTAAAAAAAAAGAATTAATAAAAGATATATATAATAATATTTAATTGAATATTTACTTGACTAGTATATTAAAAATTCTAGTGGAAATATTTGGTTTTTAGAATTTGATTATATTATTTTTAGTCTAAATTCAATTTTCTGACAAAGTGATACGAAAGTAGGGGATCTAATTTTTAATACAAAAGAATGTAGGTAAAATATTAGTAAACTTATTGTATAATATTATATTGATTTACTGTATTAACTTAAAGTCTTTGAAGCGTAATCTCTAAAATATCTTAAGTTATCTTTATATTTATTTTATATTTATTTTACATGTTTTATATTGAAATATTATTGTTAATTATTACCTGTGATTCCTCAAGTAATTATCTTAGTTTTATTTATCCTTTTGAGATTTTAATTAAAGTTATAAAATTATCGTAACATTTTAGTACTTCTTATAAGAAACAAAAATAATAATCAAGTACAATTTATATAAATATTCAAGAGATATTAAGATTAAAAAAGAATATCAATAGCATAACCAACCATTTGAAAGAAATTGATATTAAAATTCTTCTAATAACTAGAGAATTACAATAATAATTGAACATCTTTACTAAACTCCTTAGCTATATTTATATTTATTCTGACGTTAAAAGAAGAATAAGTGGTCTAATTACTTATAAAAAAAGCAACTATCACTTGATATAATTTACTTATTAAATAAGATATCAAGAAAGGATTAAAAACTCTTAATAATTACTTATTTAACTTGTATAAAGATAAGAATCTATTAGAAAATCAGAAGAAACTTATTAAAGGTTTTTACTAATACATGAATTATGCCTTATATTATTAATAAGAAATTAACATTCAAACAACTATTTAAAATATTTAGGATGGAAATATCTTTTGATAAAGCTTGTAATAATTAGGATTTTTGCAATAGAAAGGGAGAAAACTCCAAAAAAATTAAAATTTTAGTTTATAAGCCAAAAATGTTCTAAATACTATAATTTGTTCAGATTTATTATTAACTCATTTTTTATTTTTTTTGAGTTTCCTCCCTTTCTATTGCAAAGGCCTCATTTGTTATTAACTTTCTGAAAACCTAAGCATTTAATTTTAAAGATTTATTTCAATCTCAATAACAGTTTCCATTTTCTAATATAAAGTTTATTTATATATATAATAAAAAAATAAATATATAAAAAAAGTTGCTAAAATTACAGAATTGCATAAAATATAAAAAATCATAAATAATACTATAAAATTCTTATTTTAAAAAATTTTAATAAGTGTTTTAATTAATAATATAATAAAACTTAGATATAATATATAAATAATATTATTTTTCTGAATTAAATAGAAATCTTTTATAAAACTTTCATATTATATTAATTTTTTTATAAAAAAACTTTTATATTCTTTATAATAAATACTTATTATCTATTAATTTTATATAAGAAATATATAATTACAATTATTATAAAAATATTTGTTAAAAAAATTTCTATATTTAATAATATAAATCTAAATATAATTCTATCATTAAATTTTTTTATTATTTCTATATATTATTTTATAGAATTTAATATACATTATAGAAATATTATCAACTTTTATAAAATGTGTTAGTATTTGTAACTTATTTCTTTGAAATTTATTATTATTTGTATATAATATAATATTTAAAGATTTCAATATTTACTATATTAAAATCACTTAAGTTTTATATTAATTAAAATAAAAATTATTACTATACTAATATTATTATTAATTATATTTATTACTAAAAAATAATCTAATTGATGATTATTTTATTTACTTAAAAATATTTAATAATAATAAGAAAATCTTAAAAACTTTATAAATATTTACTTTATTTTTATTTTTATTTTCTTTTTTTAAAAAGAATATATTATTATTACTATTATAAATTAAATACAATCTAATAATATTTCTATTTTATAATTAATTATATATTAAAATTCTATCAATAACTTTTAAATTTTAAGTATATTACATAAGCTTTTCTAACTTTATATATAATTAAAAATACTGGAATTCTAAAAATCTCTTATAAATTCAAATTAGAG